CGTCCAAAAGGAGTGTAGCCTCCTGGATGAGATTTTCATTGGTCGCGCCCTGCTCAATTTCTGCAAAAATCTCCAAATTTTTTCCAAGGCATAGGTACATTGAGTGCTGCACATATGCATGGCGCGATGATAAAAATTGCACAACCTCGGGATGATATGCAAGGGCCGCCTCAAGGAATTGTACGTAGGCGCGAGAGAATGGCATACCCATCCACTCCGTCTCCGCATTTATAGCTTGTGGCCCTGTGTCACTCCCAGCGCATTGCTCAACCCCCTTGGTTGGCTCGCCAAGAGGGCGAAGAGCCCTCTTTGTTATAGTTTGCTCAACGGTGGGAGCTGTGGACTGCCTCGCTGGGGTAGACGTGGCATCCCCCGCAGTAGTCTGCGGCAGTGGCACCAAGAGGACTAGTGAAGATTGTAACTCTATTAAAGGAGAGGTTTGAACCCTTTCCTCTTGCAACACCTCCTCGTTTACCAAAGGGGCCTGTTATGTCTCCTGTGTCTCTAAAGGTGAGACTTGGAGGTCTCGCTTATAGGCCTCTCCCATCCCGGAAGAGAGGTACTCTCCTATCTGTTCATCTCTCGAGGGAGAAGGCTTTCGCACCTCTGTAGGTGAGCTTGACATTGTATCTGTATTGCCTCGCGGGGCCTCTTCTACATTTTCGCCCCTGGGTGACCCAACCGCGGCATCGCTTGCATGACTTGTCACCTCAGGGTTTAGGGATTCTGACCCATTCTCAGCCCCCACCGGGGCTTGGGGAAGTACCGTGCCCTCGGCGTTGGCGGCGCTCGCTTGAGGTGGCGCTGTAACACGCACATACCCTCGCATCATCTTTGCTACCTCAGCGGCATGTGTGCGCACAGGTACGTCTCGAATAGTGATGAGAGGCGAGACATCCAGCGCGAGCTCTTCCATTTCCTCCTTTCTCACACCCATTGAAGTGTCCTCCTGACCATCACAATACAGGGCACTCTCACCTAAAGCTTTCATAAAATCAAAAGCAGGTAAATTTGGAAATTCACTGTCAGAAGCAAGTACCTCGCCTGAACTTATATCATGGACAGTGGTGTCAATCCCACCATCGCGCACCTGGTGAAGCCTACGCGACCCCCCTTGCCCTGGCCCAAAGGTTGCAGCCATCGAGCCATGCTCTCCAATGAAAGGCTGTTCGCCATCATCTTCGGAAGTAGTTGTATCCTCACTCTCAGTTGGTTCATCCACTAGTGGGATTCTGCTTGCGGAGGCTGTGGGTCGAGATGTACTTGGCGCTGCAAGCCTTGCCCTTTCCTCCCCCACGCTATCAGTAGCTGGCTCTGCAACACTTACAACCGCACGTTTGTTGGGGAGGGCAAGGTTCGCGCGTGAAGTTGCCCTCGTCTTGCGCCTACGGACAGGCGCTGGGGCTGTCTTCACGGTAAGGTTAGCGGTGGCCGCGGCAGGTTGGTAAGATTCCCCCTCTTTTGTCGCAATGAGTGCAGGATCAGGCGCGAAGCTGCAGAGCTCCCCCCTCTCAAATGCTATTGGAGGCCTCAGTGAGTGGTCCCCCGAATAGATCACCAACGCTTTTGCGCGATGGGCCGGACGCTAACAAAAATCTTTCCAGCTCGCTAGCTCTATTGCCCACAGCAAGCGAGCCGTCTCTGTACACCTCGAGACCCTGCCTCTTCCTGGTAGGAAGACCCCGCCAATTCCTTCGCGAAGTAGCCCAATGTGATCTGCTACAAACCTCGCGAAACTGCTCTCGTAAGAGTCCTCGTCCTCCACAAAAATGTATTGCGAAGGTACCCCCCTATTGTAACCAAATTACAGAGGGACTCTGCGAGGGTTATATGTCTTTGCTATTTGACCCCCTTCCCATATCGTTGGCAAGTAACCAGGGGTGCTCATCAACAAGAACACCAACACTTCGCTCGCATTCAGGCGATGAGCACCCACTGGAATGTGCTCGTTATCATTAAAGTACATGGGCAGAGTTTTAGCCCCAGGCAAGTCCATCGCATAAGGGCGACTTATGAATTGGAAGCTTTGGTCCAAGGCATATCCATGCCATCTCATGCCTCACACCACCTCCTCGTCCACAGCCAGGTCTACGGGGATGGGAGCATAAGATTGGAACCTCTCGTACAGGAACATTTGTAGAAATATGGTAGACGCGTATGAGCAATGAACGTAGCGCCCCACAGACCGGCCCATGTCTTCCCACACCATGTCGAGTCGGTGGTATAATGTTCCCAAAAAGAGAGGTGCGAGGGCCACTTTCACACCACTCGCTAGCTTCACCGCCAGATCCACAAGTCGTGGCTGTTGAGCATCCTCCGGAGTCCCCTCGATTAGATATCTCAATAGCCAACATAGTAGGTAAGCCGCGAGACTGGACGAATGATCAGCCCAGGGACCTGGAATTCCTTTTCTTCCCTCATCTGTGAGATTCTTTTTTGTCATGGGGAAATCCTTAAAATAATATCGCACCAACGCCCCCAGAGTGGCCTTGCGTGCACCCTTGCCTCGCTCAGCATGGCAAACACCCTGTGCGCCCCACAGCGACTTAAAGTCTTTAGTTTTCTCCAGTGCTGTCTCGAGATCATGAGCAAGAGTCTCCTCAGCTTGCACGAACTCCCAAGAACCAGGATTTTCCACCCCTTGAAATGGTAAGCCTAACAACTGGCTCACATCCTCAATCGTGGGAGTGAACTCTCCCCACGCAATAATGAAAGTATGCGAGCTTGAGCTCCATCGCGAGGTTAATTCCCATAAACCTGCAGTGTCGCGAGGGATGTGTATTTGGCGAAACAGCTTAATTGAGGGTGTTAAGCTCGCTGCATCCAAGATTGCCTCGTACTCCGGATTTGCAAAGATCGCGTCTGTCCATTTTTCCCAACTATGGGCTGGACTTGTGTGATTGTTGAAGTTCACATAGGACCATGGATATTGCCCTTGCCCAACCCCAAATCGCAGGATTGTATCCGCAGGGATGCGAGGAGCCAGGTTCATTTCAACTTCCTCCTCCATCAATTCAACCACTTCAAGTGGTTTGTCGGCGACCACAGCTTTGCTCGCCCCGTGCCAAAACAGGTCATTTTTTCTAAAAAATGGCACATGTCGCCATTCCGAATCTGCTGGCACCTTTGGCGGAGGGAAATCCTTCTTGCATAACTCTTTCTTGCTAACCATGATGGCAGTTCCTTTTCACTAAGCAAACAATGCACCAAAGAACTTTAAACCTTCGTGAGATCTCTTCTCCGGCGACAATGGAGGTTCAGGTAATCTCTGTATTTTTTAAGTCCGTTTCACAAGTAACCCTCCACTTCGTCACTGTCTCCCTTTTAATAGCCTTTTTGCCTCGGGAACCCCCAAAAATCAAATCGGCAACAGATGGCGCATTAATAACTGGAGGCGACCTTTCATGATCGCGTCTCTTCCGCCCCCTCGAAACAATAAATGCCCTAGAAGCCTAGTCTTGCACGCGCAATAATTCATTTTGAATCGTCGCACATGCAGGGGGGCAAAATGTGGGTGTCACTTATCAGACGCTGAGGTGGCACGTTGACAAGTTAAAACAACCCTAGCCAAACCCTTCGTGGCAAGTTGAAAAGTCAAAAGCCTCGAAAGATCAAATCTCGAGCACTGTAAGCCCTGGCATCGCTCCAGGCCCTCAAGCCTCGAAAGATCAAATCTCGAGCACTCTAAGCCCTGGCATCGCTCCAAGCCCCCAAGCCTCGAAAGATCAAATCTCGAGCACTCTAAGCCCTGGCATCGCTCCAGGCCCCCAAGCCTCGAAAGATCAAATCTCGAGCACTCTAAACCCTGGCATCGCTCCAGGCCTGGTAAGCCTTGAGAAGTCGATCTTCGAGTATTCCAAATCCTGGTGTTACGCTAGATGATACTGTCCTAAAAGATCGGAGCTCCTTAGCACGAGATGAGGTAGGATCTTTGTGTTATAGGAGTCCATGTTTGGGAAACTTAAGAGGATCTTGGATTGGCGGATGAGAAGTCAAGAAGTGCCTTCGCTCTCGGCAAGGCCCAATTAACAAGATGATGGGATTATACATGTTGTGACAGTAAACCTTAAAATCACAATTAATGCTATGTCAGGCTTGACCAACTGACGGTCAAGCAACATTTAATGCCCCTGATTAAGGGAGAAGTGACATGGCAGCATGGGACAAGGCTCGAGGAAAGGATTAGACCCTTAATCCCCTTAAGTCTTCAGGATTATGCACGTAATCCGGATTGGGGGTGATGCATGCGAGGAACTATGCATAGAGGGGACCATTGGATAATGACCAATGGAATCTTGATCTATAAATGGCACTATCCTATGAAGAAAGGAGCAGCCCTCCCGAACTAAAGAAAAGCTGTTATATTGTATAATCGCCCTACCACGATCTTGATCTAGTTAGTTGGTCTTCTTCTCCTCCTCCTATACTGAGCATCTCCTCTGTTTTCCTTCGTATTTGTATTCCTGATATCTCTTTTTGTTACTATTTTATTACCTAGTAAAAAAGAACCCCTACAGATGCCATCCGTGTTTCATTCTTGATGCTTATGCTTGAAATTATTCTGCAAAACCAATCACACAGTGGTGCAGACCATGGTCTTTATAAGGAAGGCTTATAGTTTAGGGTTTATTATTATTGTTTGACAACCTAGATAAATTTTTATCATTCAGGGAAAAAAAAATAGATAAATTTTTATTTTTATTTTTATTTTCTAGTCAAGTTGCTGGTCAAAAATGACTTTTAAGGTTTCTGTTTGCATAGACTTGCAAATCAGTCCCTAATCTACAACTACAGCAGGTCATGATACATCACTGTATCCCATATGCCTGTCTCTACTTCATATCATTGTTCCACCTTCAAGAATTAATGTGACGGTTAAACCTGACCAAATTAATTTTTTTGGGGGGACTACAATGATCCCTATTCCCTAGGTATAACACAATGCTTATTGAATCTATGTTCCTTTCTCTGATTTCAGTTTTCCTTGTTTTGAATTGCAGCCAGCTGAAGGGTCTAAATTTAACAGGAGAACTACCAGCCGAATTTGCAAATCTTAGTCACCTGCAAGAAATGTATGTGACACATTTCAGTAACATTCAGAAATCCATCAGCATAGTGACACGTTAGCCTTGTTGGTGTATTAGGTTTATTCATAAATTGCTTAAATAGATTTTCTACAGTATCAAGACTATAAGAACTATTATTATTATTATTTTTTTTCCGGAATGTCCCTAGGAATTTTAAGTAGGTATCTGTTCTTCAATATTACCTGACAGAAGTCTATTATGTTGTCCTTAATTACAGGCAAGCATGTTTAGTTTCCTTAGTAGTTTGAATTAAGGATAACTTGGAACCTTTTTTGGTGATTATTGTGTTGTTGTATGATCAAGTTCTATATAATCCACAACTGGTTGTTCCAATTCCGATGACACACTCAAGCATGCCTACTTTTATAAACTTAAGCCGGTTTGCAAATTTATTTGATGATGATTTGATCTCAAATACCACACATGTATTGGAGGAATCTCTCTGTAAATTTTATAATAGAATGCAATCTTAATTAAACAACTATAATCCCTCCAACATATGGTATATCACATGGAAGATTGACCATTTGAAATTGATAGAGACTAAGCATGGCTTCTTTTATCAACACAGTGATCTCACTCGCAACTTCATTAACGGATCAATTCCTACATCTTTTGCTCAACTCCCACTGACCATTCTGTAAGTGTTTTTTTTATATGCTTTTAAGTCCATGAGAACCATCCTCTGTTGGATATTTAATTAGACGGGTTGGCTAGATTTTAATCAATGGTACACTACAGGTCCATTTTGGGAAACCGAATCAGTGGTTCAATTCCTAAGGAGATTGGTGACATTGCTACCCTTGAGCAGCTGTAAGTAATGGCCTACAGTTCTCTCTGTTGGAGCAATAGATGGATCTTTATTTTGGATTAATTCGAATAGTGTTATCCAGGGTTTTGGAAGATAATCAGCTTGGGGGACCTCTTCCTTCGAACCTCGGAAGCTTGAGCCACTTGAGTAGAGTGTAAGACCCTATTCTTTTGAAGTGATAGACATTCTTGCCACTGTTGGTCTGATTTTTCTTATGTTGTTTCAAGTTCATAATGAATGCTTTTCTGCAGACTTCTTTCTGCTAACAATTTTACGGGAACGCTGCCAGAAACATTCAGCAATCTAAAGAACTTAACGGATTTGTATGTGTTAATTGTTTGAACATTTATCATCTTGAGTTTTCGGAAATTTTAATACCTTTTACTCCTTGCAGTAGGATAGATGGGAGTAAACTGTCCGGGAAGATACCAGATTGGATTGGGAACTGGACGATACTTGATAGACTGTGAGTATGATCTTTCTTTACATGATCATCCAATTTCTTTCCAAACCCGGAGAAGAATTTCTTCTTAAATATTATTGTAACTAATGACATCTTAAATAAATGTTCAACTCAATCTGTTGCAGTGATCTGCAAGGCACGTCCATGGACGGACCCTTTCCAGCTACCATATCCCAATTGAAAAACTTAACTCAGTTGTGAGTGCAAAGCTGACAATCTAATAGCTATTTCATTCACTTCATTCATTTCTTTTAATTAAAAAGAGAATTTCAGACTTTTTTTGTAGATATGTGAACAGACAAAAAGAAGCATTTTGATCTATTGCATTTGATTTTCAGGCGAGTAACTGATTTGAATGGACCAACCACGAGTTTCCCAGATCTGCGGGATATGACAAAATTGGAAGAACTGTGAGTTGAGTTCGGATATAATTCATGGAGAACATACAAGATGTTACCCATTTTATGGTCCTATTAACTGACCATGTTTTTTATGTTTTTGTGGCATAGGATATTGAGAAATTGCTTAATTACTGATTCACTCCCGGAATACATTGGTGAAATTACTGCACTTAAAACTTTGTAAGTTTATTTTAATAAGAAGCATGGTTTTTGTTCCACACCCCAAGGTCAAATTCACTTGTTCCTTTATACTGTGATCAATGTGAATATGGATAAGTAATAACAATGGAAAAGAATCCATAAAATGAGTTGATATCTTGTTTTTATAACTGCGTTTTCCTTTTTTGTCAATTTTAATTGTTCTGATTTTCATCTTTGGACAATTTAATAATACTTAAATATATCTACTAAGAATTGACATATCATGGAGCTGAATCAGAGTTGAGGTTTAAAAACTTGCTACAACCGTGTCCTGAGTCACTTGATTTAATGGTATCCTATAGTATGTGACATGATTTAATGTTTGATTTTAAGTATTTTTTTCATTCCAAATTTCATCTTTTTATTTTTAAATTTATAATATGTCAATGTAATTATTTGAATTTTGTTTTAATAATTATTATATGAATTATAAAATTATATTATTAAGCTACAAATACACGTGTATTATACATAAATAATTTATATTTTATGATAATAGTCTACAATAATATGGTTTTCATTAAAAAGTTAATAACAAAATGAAAATAAAAAAAAAACCAAATAATACTTAAAATTGACTAAAGAATTGGAAAGTTGCACATATATTCAAGAAAATCTTTTGAACAGGTGTTAGTAAACTTTGATAAAAGTTGCGTATCAATTTCGTTTTGATAAAATTTCTCAACTGTGGCAGTCTATACTGTTAAATAATCCCTGTTAAAACCTGCAACCGTGATACCACAACCACGACTTAAAACATCAATCAAATTTTCCATTACTTTTCATATTGTGTTGAATTTTTCTTGTCATTGACCTACACCATTTCTTTATATTTAGTGGTTGATAAATTGGGCTGTCAATTGTTATTTTAACTTGTCCATTGTTTTTCTTTGCCAAGGAATTTATCATTGTATATTCTCTTTGTGGTTTTCATTATTTAACTAAAAAGCAGTGTGGTCAATTTTAAATTATATCAGTTGAGATATTATAGCATTTTTGGACATCCATGAAATTGAATTAATTTTCTTGTGGTCTATGTACAATTTGAAAGCAATGATGCTTGTATTTATGAAATAATACTAATTTGATTATTTGCCATATTTTGTGGCCATTACTCACATTTAGTAGTTTATAGACTATAGATTTATGTTTTAACAGTTGTGTTTGAAAAACAAATTAGAATTTCTATATTCTATTTGAATTAGATCACATTTTAGTCATCTTGTTTATGGACAACTGTATCTCATTTTGGTCACATGGACTTTTTACTTGCAGAGACCTGAGCTTCAACAGGTTGACAGGTCAAATTCCAGGGACATTTCAGAGTTTGAATCTTAATTACATGTAAGTAATTGATTTTAGAATAAGTCTCATTTCCAAACTTTTAATACTCTAAAAGCTGGATGCGTTATTGTTCCTTGTTGAATTTTCTTTTACTTATGCCTGAGACACAATTATGTGTATTGATGTAGGTTTCTGAACAACAACTCACTAAGTGGAACAATACCTGACTGGATACTCAACAACAAATATAACATGTTAGTAGATCGTCAATCTTTATTTGGTGATTAAGATTGTTACACATACATATAGCTTGCTTTTTCTGTGAAATTTGGTGAGGTCAAGCATGATCTCTAAGACAATAGTAGTTATATTCAATTGAAATTTCACGCATGTCATGCCAATTCTATTGCAGGGATGTATCTTACAACAACTTTACAGAGCCTTCTCCATTTGCTTGCCAGTCATCAAGCGTGTGAGATTCTTTTCATTAATAGTTCTATATCATTAATAGTTCAATTTTCAAATCACTCTTTTCATATTGGTCTACAGGAATTTAGCTTCCAGCTACTCTTCTGTGGAGGGCAACTCGTAAGTTCTTTACTTTCAAAGATAGGGATTTAGAGTTTATATAATTACCTTCATAAATAATATGTTTGTCATGCAGAATTGCTTGGTGCTTGAAGAAGGACCTTCCTTGCTCGCAAAATCCCCAATGTAAGTTTAAAACCTGTGCTACTATGATTTAGTGATAATACTATGTCATGATTTCCATCACAACATATGCAGACCATTCCTTGTTTATCAATTGTGGAGGAAGCGACACAACCTTTGATGGGAATGATTATGAAGCAGACTTAGCCACACAGGGTCCATCATACTTTTATGTTTCTTCAGAAAAATGGGCTTATAGCAGTACAGGGGTTTTCATGGGCAATGACGGTGCTAGTTACAAAGCAAACAACTCTTTCTCTTTGAATGTGACTGATGAGATATACAGAACAGCACGCCTTTCCCCTACTTCACTTAAGTACTATGGCCTTTGCTTGCGTAAAGGCAGTTATAAAGTTCGACTTCACTTTGCTGAAATAATGTATTCTAATGACCAGACATATAGTAGCCTTGGGAAGCGGATTTTTGATGTATCAATCCAAGTGAGTAAGAGGCCAGCTTACTTGTATGAACATATTAATGCAGTTCGATCATGACATTTTATTTTTTGGTGAATTCATATGAACATCAGTTGCTTTCAGGGCTATCTCTTTTCTTTGTTTCTGATTTTCTGTCTCTGATATAGAAGTTATTTAACGTTTTGGCTCTGATTTTTCAATTTGACTTGTTCTGCAGGGGAATGTATTTTTGAAGGATTTTAACATTATGGAGGAAGCTAAAGTTGCTGGCAAAGACATCACTAAGGAATTTAATGTCCTCGTTAATGGCAGCACTCTAGAGATCCACTTATACTGGTCTGGGAAAGGGACTACTGCAATTCCTGACAGAGGTGTATATGGACCTCTTATATCTGCTATTTCAGTGACACCAAGTAAGTGTATCTTTCATTCTGGGCGTGACTCTTTTCTTTCTACGACCTTTTCACAAGAGTTTCTTTCTCTTTCTTGTAGACTTTGATCCTAATACTGGTAAGGGACTTTCTGTTGGAGCTATCATTGGTATCGTGGCTGCTTCATGTGTGGTCGTTGCGTTGATTTTGTTTGTACTTCGAATGAAAGGTTACTTAGGAGGGCAAGACCTTGAAAATGAAGGTGAGATCTAAAACACAATAAATTAAACATATGATATTCTTTTTCAATATTTGATTGTGAGCTAATGCAACTGTGGGTTACTATTTGGAAAAGGTGCTTGATATTTGAGCTTTATTTGGTAAAATGTCTCGGTGCATGTTTTTTCTTGTATCGTATATAAATTAGAACCAGTATTGAAGATTATCAATTTCGTGCCAGCTCTTATAACGAAGCTTGGCAAGGCTTTCCTTTCAAAAAGAGAGATTAGGATGATGCATCTCATAAGTAGGTTTCCTTGCTTGACTCTCTTTGCTTCTAGGATTCCTAGTTGGAATGCCAGTTCTCCCTTTGGGCGTTTCCACACAAACTTAATACGATTGGACTCAAACCATTCAAGCATCTCTCTGATTCTCAAGCGAGCTCTGTATAGGAATTATTACAAACTTTAGCATATGGCTTGTAAAATGAGTAAAACTACGCATAAAGTTCAAGCAATTTCTATTTTCGGTATATAACAGTCTTTTTTCTTTGCAATCATTTTTAATGTGTCATTTTTTGGGCAAATTCTATTTTCGGCTTTATTACAGAACTTCGAGCGCTAGATCTGCAAACAGGTTATTTCACTCTAAGACACATCAAAACTGCTACTAGTAACTTTGACCCTGCAAACAAGATTGGTGAAGGAGGATTTGGACCGGTTTACAAGGTTACTCCCAACTCAAGTTATTAAATTTTCGTCACTTGCAAATTAAGGTCATGTACCCTTCTATGCATCTATGTCTAGGAGCAGCAATGAGAAGTCAAAGAAATTTTGTCATTTGACTGCAGATATCTTGTTTTCTTGTATTTAATCATTTGAAATTGTTTCTACTTGATTTTAGGGTGTACTGTCAGATGGTACAGTAATTGCTGTTAAGCAGCTTTCCTCCAAATCTAAGCAAGGAAATCGCGAGTTTGTCAATGAGATAGGCATGATATCTGCCCTACAACACCCAAACCTTGTGAGGCTTTATGGCTGTTGCATTGAAGGAAACCAGTTGTTGCTAATTTATGAATACTTGGAAAACAATTGTCTTGCTCGTGCACTCTTTGGTAATTACCTCCCTATAATCTTTAACACCAATGTATAAATGTTATAAGAGTGACTATAGTGATATGACTCTCTCTTACTTTTAGGTCGCAATGAACACAAGCTGAACTTGGATTGGCTAACAAGAAAGAGAATAAGCTTAGGAATAGCAAAGGGCTTAGCATATCTTCACGAGGAGTCAAGGTTGAAAATCGTTCATAGAGACATTAAGGCTACCAATGTGCTGCTTGATAAGGATCTGAATGCTAAGATATCTGACTTTGGTTTAGCCAAGCTTGATGAGGAAGAGAACACCCATATCAGCACTAGAATTGCTGGAACAATGTGCGTTTATATACGTCACTTTTCCACCTTCAATATTCTTCTTTGCATCTATTCATACCTTATTAATTGCTCAATTCTTCGTGCACTTCTTATTTTTTCTTTTTTCAGAGGATATATGGCTCCTGAATATGCAATGAGGGGTTATTTGACGGACAAAGCAGATGTTTACAGCTTTGGAATTGTTTTATTGGAGATTGTCAGTGGGAAAAGCAATACAAATTACAGGCCAAAGGAGGAGTTTGTTTACCTTCTTGATTGGGTAAGCTTTCTTTTGGAGTTCTCTCCTCTTTAGATGATCTTTTGGTTTACGCTTCCAAGGGGTAGGTCTTGGCCCAAGGTTAAGGTTGCTACATTGTGACTTAGAGGTTACAGGTTCAAAACAGAAAACAGCCTCTCCGTATGCAGAAGTATGGCTGCATACATCTGACCCTCTCTGGACCTTGCAATGGCCCGGAGCCTTGTTGTGTAGCTAGTTCTTTTGGTTTAAACTACTAGAGCTTGCTCTTGTTTTTCCTGTTTATAGATGACTTCAGATGAAAATGCTTGAAATATAATGATTCTTTTTAGATTTTAATAGAATTGCTTAAATCCAACCTTTAAATTAATTCAGTGGAAAAACTTTTTATGAAATGTTCAATCTTACGTGACCATGATATCTCAAAATGATTTTCTTTTTCTTTTTCTTGAACGATGTGTGTCACACAGATTTTTATTTTTATTTTTTATAGTTACTCGATGAGTTGGAGGCTACATAGGATAATTGAATTTGTATTTTGTTTTTCCTTGGGATTGCAGGCTTATGTTTTACAAGAGCAGGGAAACCTTTTAGAACTGGTAGATCTGAGTCTTGGTTCAAACTACTCAAAAGAAGAGGCGATGAGGATGTTAAACTTGTCTCTTTTATGCACCAACCCATCTCCCACTCTCAGACCATCCATGTCTTCTGTGGTGAGTATGATCGAGGGCAATAGTCCAGTTCAAGCTCCGATAGTGAAGCGTAGTTCAGAGAACGAGGACATGAGGTTTAAAGCCTTGGAGAAGCTATCACAGGACAGCCAGACACACGTCTCGTCATTCTCTCAGGACAGTCTGGTGCAGAGGAGCATATCAATGGATGGGCCATGGATTGATTCCTCCATCTCTATCCAAAGTAATAAGAATGGGTCTGTGAAGGAAGAAACTTCATCAAGAAAGCTTCTTTCAGATCTTTATGATGTGAATTTACACTGATTAACCGAAATGAGATGTGCAACTGTGGCGCTTTGAAATTATATTTTGTAAATTTTGTGAAGTTAGCCAACCTGTCCTTTAAATGATTTTAGAAAGTAATGAAGTTTGATTTGTTAAAAAGCTATTGTCTATTTTTTTAGACTAACAAACTGTATCATCCGAGTGTGTCTATTTGGACCACTTTGGTCCCTCCCTCCTGGGAATGAATGCTTTTATATTTTGCGTTTTTCTGAAATTTCCAAAGCCATCCATGCACATAAAGCTTGGTATATCAGCACCATTGTTTTTATTAGCAAGAAATATATACATTACTTACATATTCATTTTGTTTATTTTGTTTTTCTAAAGATTCTGACTATCACCATCTACTTTAAAAAATAGAAGAGATGCATAACTAAACCATAAGTCCCTATATATTTCAACACGATAAGTATAGTACATTAAATAAGTCCAATTGGCTGCTAACTACATAAATATATAAAACTTCAGGTGTGAAATTTGACTACTTAATCCAATTTTCTTCTCTTAACTTTGAAACACGGCCCCTCTCCTAACCCAATAAAAAAAAATTTGCATGGCTGTTAGTTAATTGGCTAGCTGTGTTTCAAAAAAATAAAACAAAAAAATCGGTGTCTGAACTTATTATTGATAAATTAAATCTTTTGAAACAGACGCACACACGAAAAGAAGGAAAAAAAACAAACAAAAGGAGATAAAAATAAAATAAGTAAATTTGGACCACTGGATCATTGTCCAGTAAAGGACAAGAATGAGAATTTGATTTTGGGGAGAGTCAATGTGCGGGTGTGGGCACGCAATTAGGATCCGTTTAATTATATGAAAATTAATGATAAAAAGTTAAAGTAAAAAAACGTGAAGTGTGAGAAAAATAAAAATAAAATATTTCATACTGTATTTTATTAGAATGAAATTTTTTTAAAAAATATATAAAAAATTACTATTTTAAATTTGAATAGCATGAAACTTATTATAAAAGAAAATATATTATTATAAATTCATAATATTTTCTCAATAAATCAAAATTTTATGTGTTCTTTTTTATAAATTATTTTTTATGAAAAATAATATTTTTTCAAAATTTTCCTTTTCATCCTACTTAAATTAAAGAATGTTCAAAATTCGTTTCCTATTTCCTATCTTTTGGTACTATTCCTACCTAACCAAAGTGAATTGAATATGCATGATAAAAAAATAATTATTTGAACAAAGAAGTGTATAATGTATTAGATCACTTCTCTTATCTAATGAAAGTGAATTGAATTTGAATATGCAAGATAAAAATAGTAATTATTTGAAAGAAAAAAAGTATATAATAATTAAAATCACTTTCCTACCTAACCCGAGTGAATTGAATATGCATGGTTAAAAAATAATTATTTGAAGAAATAAGTATATAATGTTTTAGATACTTTCCTATTTACTATCTTTTCATACTACTCTTGTGATCTAATCTAATCAAAGTGAATTGAATATGCATGATAAAAAAAATAATTATTTGAAGAAAAAAAAGTATATGATGTTTTATATCACTTTCCTTTTTGACTATTTTTTTTTTTTTGGTACCATTCCTACCTAACTAAAGTGAATTGAATATGCATGATAAAAAGATAAAAAAAAAAAAATTATTTGAAGTAAATATATAATATTTTAAATCACTCTCCTTTTTGACTAAATATATGATTATTGACATTATCGTTCAATAAATCGAATGAATGTATGACGCGGAAAGATGAGACTGCGAACTCGTATGAGTAGTCTTTCTGGTCAAGCATTTCTCTTACTTTAGAATGTTTGTTCAAAGATAGTCCAACAACCAAATTCATTTAAGGAGCAAAGCCCGACTCTAAAAGATAATCTTTAAGGGTCCGTTTGGTTAGACAGAAATGTATAATAGAAAGTGAAAGTGAAACTGTCATTTAATTTCTAAAATTTTCACAAACCATTAATTACGGTGTATTGCTTTGGAATATTAAAACCACAAGAAACCAGTGAATGTTCGTACAACCACGTGTCTTAATTATGCAAACTTTTCACAGACCAAGTTAGATAAAAGTAAAAATCTAAGAAAATATTAAAGGCTTCAGTTTATCTTAATTAAGATGCATTGACTAAGTTTTTGAAATAATAAAAAATATTTTAAATTTTACACACGTAACATGTATTATTTAGAGCATTCATTAAATATAAATATTAAATGGTTTTGGTCCATTTCACACTTAGTGAGTTAGTTAAATTTAGACATTCTAATTCAAAAAATGACTTCACAAAAAATATATTAATATATTATAAAAGAAATTGCAACATTAGCAAATTAAATGAAATGTGCTGATCATTGGTTAGGAAGCACGAACAAAGATATGAGATACATGTACGATATGATACAGACAAAATGATACGATAAATATAAAGAGTATGGTATGAATAGGTCAAAAAATAAAAAATATAATATATAAAATATTTTTTGATATTTTGTTCACAAAATATTATATAAATATAATATTTTTTGACATTTTTTAATTTTATATTATTTATTAATTAACCCATAATTCTCCTTCTATCTAAAAAAAAAAAATATGTCTTAGTTGGAGAATCATGACTCATAAATTCCAAATAGAACATCTAATTTGGGACAGAAGTAGTACATTTTATATTACATTTAGTTTTATTTTTTATTTTTTAAATAATTATAAAATTACTTCATTGTATTCTAAAAATTGCATCGGATCAAAAAATAAAATAATATTTATGATTACTGATACATCTAACCGTATCAAACGCGTGATGATATCGGTGTGAACAAGAAAAGTCAAAATCAAAGACAAGCGCAGCTGACGTGGAAACAGGAAAAAAAAAAAAAAAAAAAAAAACAACAAAATTCCACTTTCTTTATTTGCCTGTTGTAACCATCTCTCCCTTCCCGCCTTGGCCCCCACAGTTTAAACCATCATCAGTTCATCACCACGCTGCCCTCTTTGTCTATATAATTTATATTTTATATCGACATATCTACATATATTTTCTTTGTTACACATGGTATTCAGATTTTGGTAATCTCTCCTTCCAAATTTTCTCTCTCTATATATACGTACGTATACATATCGGGTGTACTTTGTGTGTAGTGCCGTTCTCATCCGTCGTGTTCGTATACAACGATTTCGTTTGTTTCTGAATCGAAGGAATTGTAGTTGCAGAGTAGATGGAGTCCGTCTTCATCAAAACGACGACTTTCCAGAAAATATTCACTCATATTATCTTTGTGTCTCTGGTTCTCAACTGTTGTACTGAATTCAGATCCGTCTGTCAACTTCTACCACAAGAAGAAGGTACAAATTCAATTCGCAACTCTATCAGCTTTATCCATTTGTGATTTTCTGCTTCTAGTTACTTACTCTGTTATTTGTCATATGATGCCTAGTAACATTTTTTTCTATTTTTTTCACTCCAGATTACACTTAATATTTAGTGGAATCTTTTATGATGTTATCCATGTTGCCACGTGGATACTATCGCAATTTGCAACTGTTGATTTCATCACATTATGCTATTTTTTTATGTTATTGTTGAAACTGTCATAAAATTTGGGAACAATACTTGATGTTTGGAATGACAGAAAATGAAAATTGAGTATGTAATTCCTTATTTCCTGGGGGGTGGCCGTTTCTATATATAGAAGCTCAAAAGAGCTATGATTTTGTTGAGTTCGGACCCGTTCAATTTTGATGTTCACTTTGTATGGAACTGTTGAAATGGTACTGGTCCTTGCAAGATCGGGTCCTTACAATCCGAAGAAGAAAAGATCAAGCTAACAAAGTTGCTCGGCAATAACAGATATATCTTGGCCTGGAGTCACTTAGACATGCCTGGGTGCATCCAACAGTGGTATGCCAGTCTTAATGTTGATCAAGTTAGGCCTTAAGGGGTAGCTGGTTGGCACTATTATCGGGTGAGATTCGAAGTAGTGTCCTAATTTCGTTTTTGCATTAACCAGCGCGAGAACAATCTTCTCTATCTTTGGGTACCTCTTTTCAGCATCTCTCTTTGTTTTGCTTGTGTAGAACAATATCTCTTATGTTTCTTATTCTCTTCTCTTATTTATACACCGCTGGTCGCCACGTTCGACACAGCCAGATACAGGTACAATATCTCGTCTTGTTCGGGACAGAGAGGATCGGTGGTTTCTGCATATATTTCTTTAGTTTGGTTAACACATCTTGTTGCTTTGCCCCCCATGTCTGCTTTCCTCTTGCTCTAATAGCATCGAATAAGGGCTTAGGCTTGTCCGAGAGAGGTGATATGAATCTGCTCAATGTAGCTATTCTACCAGTAAGAACCTGCACATCCTTGAGGGACTTGGGCTCCTCGTTCTGCACTAGGGCCTTGGCCCGAGTTGGGCTTGCTTCAATACCTCTGCAATTGACTATGTGGCCTAGGAATTGTATCGAGGAAACATGAGTGGTTTAATAATTTCCTACTTTTTAATTGTTGAGGGCAATTTCAAAATTATAAAAATACCATTTAAAAATTATCATTCATTTCCTTATCTTCTCATTTTTTAAGAAATATGATATGAGATAAGAAGCTTCCTATCTCTCCTATCATTTCTTTTATCTTATTTTAAACAACCCAAACACAATTTACTATACCATTTCATTTCTTTTCTCTGGCTATCCCTCCAAACGCACCCTTATTTAATGGATGTGCTTCTTTGATCAATCCAAAACACCTAGTCAGCTTTTACAAATTAATGTTTTAATTATGTTATTTAATTCGTGGACTAGTTGTTGTTGAATGTATTTTTTTGATAATACTCCCCCTGTCCCAAATTAACGGCTCCTCATATATATATATATATATATATATATAATATGTATTTGTAGAATTTTATAAAATTCCTTGGAGTTGTGTAATATTAGCATCACAGGTTGGTGACCAAAATAAAACACAGTCATAGCGTTTTTATTAATTGATTTTAATTTTAATAATATACTATTAGTCTGATATACTGTTAGTCCGTCTTTATCAAGTGAATTTCATTATGAAGTCCACATCAGCAGCCGGTTCTGTTTTTTTGTTTTATTTTCTGTGATCAAGCAGTCCGAGCCCACTTGAATCTTAGATTTGATACATCTTTTGCGCCAAGATTATTCCCACAAGTATTTTTTATTTTATTTTTATCTTTATTATTATTTTTTGTGTTGTATTACTTGCGTGTGTGCATGCAATACAATGCCGAGATCAGTTTAAATGTGATTTTAC